AACCTTTAGTGGAGAACCTTTAGGCGAGACCTTTAGTGGAGAACCTTCAGTGGAGAACCTTTAGTGGAGAACCTCTGGTGGAGAACCTTTAGTGGAGAACCTGTAATGGAGAACCTTTAGTGGAGAACCTTTGGTGGAGAACCTTTAGTGGAGAACCTTTGGTGGAGAACCTTTAGTGGAGAACCTTTAGTGGAGAACCTACCTACCTTGTGTCTGGTTGTTGCTGGTTGTTTCCGGTTGTGTCTGTTTTTGCCGGTTGTCTCCGGTTGTTTTTGGTCGTGGAGAACCTTTAGTGGAGAACCTTTGGTGGAGAACCTTTAGTGGAGAACCTTTAGTGGACAACCTTTGGTGGAGAACCTTTAGTGGAGAACTTTAAGTGGAGAACCTTTAGTGGACAACCTTTGGTGGAGAACCTTTAGTGGAGAACTTTAAGTGGAGAACCTTTAGTGGAGAACCTTTAGGCGAGACCTTTAGTGGAGAACCTTTAGTGGAGAACCTACCTACCTTGTGTCTGGTTGTTGCTGGTTGTTTCCGGTTGTGTCTGTTTTTTTCCGGATGTGTCTGTTTTTGCCGGTTGTCTCCGGTTGTTTTTGGTCGTGGAGAACCTTTAGTGGAGAACCTTTGGTGGAGAACCTTTAGTGGAGAACCTTTAGTGGAGAACCTGTAGAGGGGCTCTCTGATGGAAGAATCTTGGCTGTTTCTCCCAGCTGGACCAGCAGGTGGAGAGCGTGAGCCGGCAGCTGGAGAACCTGGAGAACCTTGAGGGGAACCGCGCTAACGGTGTCCGCACACTGACCCTGAGCCACGCAGCTCAGGTCTGTTACCACGGAGACCAGGAGGGCGGAGCCTCCAGCCCGGGCAACATCAACTCCCCCGAGCGGTGAGGGGAGGGGAGGGCAGAAGGGGTTCCAAAAATGAGGAAAAATTCAATTTAACTCACTGACTGGCAGCCATTTTCAGAACAGAGTCCCATACTGCCAGAGTTTTTTGAGCATTTTGACTGATTTTTCCAGAGCCACAGAATAGTTTGTGCTATGACTATGTAAACACCGAACACACCAAAAGAAAGAGTAGACTCTCTTCTTTCATCAGGAAAAAAAATGTGTTTCTACCTTATTCCGTTCTTCCTGGACTTGCGTCTCACCGGCGACATGTTCTCTCATAGAACCGTTCCCTTTTTCTTATTTGCCTACAGTCTATGCTCATCTCCCATCAAAAGTGGCACTGCCCCCTAGAGGGTAATTTTGTTACTACATACTCTGTCTAGAAGCCCATATTTACGGACAAGCTTTAGCAGATCGTCCCCCAGACACTCTCGCTGAAAAACATAAAAGACGTCTATAGACGTTTCTCCTCTGGATATCTTATCATCATAGTGATGATAACTGTAATATTGGGTCTACTCTGTAAGTCGCTTTGGATAAAAGCGTCTGCCTAATGCATAAACAGAAACATAAACATAAACATAATCCGGAGGGTGTTTGTGTGTTTCCTGACAGCGTGCGGCGCCGTCTGTCCGTCCAGTTGCCCATCCTCCACCACTCCTACCTGCCCACCGTCGGGGGCCTGAGCTCCAGCAGCTCCAGCCTGTTCGGGGGCCTCCGCCCTCCGTCCTGAATCTGGCTCCGCCCCCCCGGAGCTGGACGAATGCTTTAGTGACCTGGTGAGGCCCAGATGTGACTCCTAGAAGGATTCCAGCTGTTGGCAGAGGAAAAACTAACTTTCTGAACTACACATTGATGTCGTATTCTCGTAGATACTAGGGTTGTCAAAAGTATGGATACTCAAAAAAGTATAGATACTAAAATGTTGTATCCGGATACGATACTCATTTTCAAAAGTATCGATACCCCCCCCCTTCTATCTGATTTATTTATGTATTTATTTACGTTGTTCATGATCATTAACAAGACGTTAGCCTTGCTAGCTGTGGCTAATGGCTAATAATAACAAGCCAACATTAATCAAGTACATATCCAACTCCCCCACATCCAAGTCGGCCATTTTTATGACATCACCAATGGGAAGACCCCAGGCAAGAAAATCGTAATTGCTTCATGGCAATATAGAAATTAATTTAAAATCGGTATCGAGTTGAACATTTTAGTATCGTGACAACCCTAGTAGATACAGAGTTAGTTTAGCTCCGCCCCCTTTTTCTTGGTGGTGCGTGAGTCACTTGTGTTTTTTAGGTCTTTGACATGTTTTTTATTATGTGTGCATTTTCTATTTTTTTTCTATAGCCTTTGTTTGTATGTAATAAAAAACACTTGGAAAAGCTTTGTCTTTTTAAAATGTTTTAATAGAATAGCACTTTTAAATACACATCTTTGGAGTTAGTGGTCAAAAATGCAGTGGATCAAACAGGAAAAGAAACTTATTGAGTTAAACAGGTGGCACTCAACACCCTCCATATCGGTTACTTATTTATCAATATTTGTTGACCTGTACCCTCTATATAAGTTATTTATTGTGGCACTGCTCACCCTCCATATCGGTTACTTATTTATTGTAATTTTGTAGTCTTTACTGTCCATATTAGTTATTTATTGTGGCACTCCTCACCCTCCATAGATGTTACAGTGCAATGTCCTACTTTCTAATTTTTGACCATCTCCATATTTCTATTGCAAATAAGTTAAGTAAAATATTGCATTATATTTTCCTCTACAGAGTCTAGTTTTTCTTGTTTGTTGTCTCTGTGACGTTTTTTTACTGGGAAGCAGACAGAAGCAAAACATCTTTAGTCTCTGAACCAGAGCCAGTGAGCAAACAAAATCAGGAAACATTCATCTTAGCATTTAATCTTAAAGAACCACTGAAATATAAATGTGTTGGAGTTTAATAATTTCAATCAATTACCGTTAATGATGGAGGTCAATGGACATGAGGAATGTCAGAAAGTAGAAAATAGCTTTTTGTTTCAAAGACATTAATGTTTATGCTTAATGCTCCACATGTATCCACACTGATTCCGTCTTGTTTTTTTCGGCATTCAAAACTTATGAGAGAATATGAAAAAATAGTTGAAGGTGCATTTAATTACATTTCTACAATAAAGTTGCAAATAAAATCAATATTTTTGAGCTCATTAAAGGCAGACTTTGTGACACATACTATGATTTCATTGATGTTCCACTCACTGAAAAGAGGAGAGTTACATGGCAGTTTTCTACTAATATGTGTTCCTCCTAAAGTTCAGAGCTTTATGCACCTTTGATATTATTTTCACTTGATTACTTATCATATTTGAGCTCATGAAAGGCAGACTTTGTGACACTTATTTTAAACCGGTTTGGGATCATTCCCACGTTCTTTCAGTCCAGAATCTTAGCATCGCGGGAGCCCGGCTTCAGGATCTGCAGAGTCAGGATGTGCCGGATGGACTTCCTGAACCAGGGGTAGAAGAGGGCGTAGATGACGGGGTTCAGACAGGAGTTTAAGTGGGCCAGCCAGATCTCGAAGGCGGCGGACGAGGCGTCCACCGAGGTGTCCTCCCCCTCCAGGGCCGGGAAGTAGTACGGGCAGAAGCAGATGAGGAACACCACCACCACGATGCCCAGAGTGCGGGCCGCCTTCAGCTCGCTCCTCCTCACGGTGGCGGTGGCCCCCGGATGGCGAGGACCGATGGCGGCCACCCGAGATCGCAGCGTCCGGGCCTGGGCCAGAACCGCCGAAAACACCCGGCCGTACAGGACCAGGATTACGGCGATGGGCAGGATGAAGGTGAAGACCGTGTCCACCACCCCGGCCTTGGGGCTGATGACCACCACGCACTCCCCGAGGCAGGAACTGGACCGGCCGGGCTCCGCGATGTGATCCTGGAGGAGAAGCAGCCTGAAGACCACGGAGGAAAACCAGCACAGGCACACGCCCAGCCGGGCCGCGCCCGCGGTCACCCTGGAGGGGTAGCGCAGGGGGTGGCAGACGGCCACGTAGCGGTCCAGGGAGATGAGCACCATGTTGACCACGGAGGCCGAGGTGATGACGTAGTCCAGGGTGTAGTACAGCGTGCACGCCCAGTCCCCCAGGAACCAGCAGATCTCGATGTAGACGATCTCCACCGGCATCAGCAGGAGGCCCACCAGGAGGTCGGAGACGGCCAGGGAGAGGAGGAGAAGGTTGGTGGGGGTGTGGAGCTGCCTGGGGAGGGAGAATAGAGTCAGTACGGGGTCAGAGAGGCGGACGTTCACAGAAAAC